AATAAAAACAATAGGTAGGTGTAAGAGGGAACTGCTGAGGTCTTTTGGGTGAAGTGAGGGACATATTTTAAAACATTTCAGTGGGCAGGCAGGCTGAGGAGTGAGGTTGGTGAGAGCATGGAGAAGAAGCTGCAGTCAGCTAGAAGTGGACCATGGAGCCTGGCTGGGAGTGAGGACAGTGGCCTCTGTCTGTGCCCACTGGATGTGGGGAGCAACAAGGCAGAACAACATGGTTCCTGCCTGCAGTACTGCAGGGCCAATGCTGTGTGTGAGGCCACACTGTGTGAGGCCAGCACTGTGTGTGAGGCCACACTGTGTGTGAGGCCAGCTCTGTGTGTGAGGCCACACTGTGTGTGAGGCCAGCACTGTGTGTGAGGCCACACTGTGTGTGAGGCCAGCTCTGTGTGTGAGGCCACACTGTGTGAGGCCAGCACTGTGTATGAGGCCGCACTGTGGAATTCAGCAGAGTTCCCCGCACAACATATTCTTTCAAAATATTTATTTTTGTATTCACTTACAGCATGTGTGTGTCTATATGCCATGGCATGTGTGTAGAGGACAAGGACTATTTGTGGTCACTATATGCTCATTTCCAAAGCCTTTTAGACATCACAGGCCACACCACAGACCCCCATGGGACTGAAATCTCTGTGGGTGGCCTGGTAATTCTAGTTCACAGGCAGGGATGAACTTCCCAGTTTCATCTCTCCAGGCCAAGGACAGGTGGGTGAGAGCTGGGACAGCCTTAGGCCTAGGTCTGATGTTTCCTCTATGTTGAGGAGAAGCCTGGGCAAGGATTACTACTGGAAGATGGGAGGGAGGGAGTCGGAGCTAGTTTCTACTCTGGGTCTTAACTCCTCTGGAAGAGGGAGGGAGTCCGAGCCAGTTCCCTCCTCTAAGGTCCTGACTCCTCTGGATCTGCACCCAGCTGTGCCCAGGGGGATGAAGAAGCGATGCTACACAGCAGAGTTGAGAGCACTGTACTCTGGGACATGGCTCCTCACAGGAAGGGCCAACCACACAGCCTTGCAGATGCCATTTTTGTTGCATACATGGGTCCCAGTGAAGCAATGGTGACGGCATACCCTGGGATGGAGCATGTCACCATAGACAGATCAGGTCTCATCACCAAGGCCACCTTCCCTGATGCCAACTCTGGTGCTCAGTATGTTATAAGAGAGCTTATCTCTGAGGAGCTGCCCTGACAGGTAAGGGTGGTCACTGTCTATGACACACAGAGGATCACAGCATGACTTGTCCAAGGCCACGAATGGCAGAGATGGTTTGATCTGAGGTCATGTCCTTTCTAATCCTCCAAAAGAGCTAGTGTTCTTTCTGTGTCTGTCTCTCTTTTTTTCTCCCTCCCTCCCTCCCTCCCTCCCTCTGACCCCTGGAAGCACTCTCAAGCAGAATCTTAAGGTTTGTTGATAGGGCCTTTTCCACCTCTTGGAGAAGGAGGACTTGTGGTTGTGGGGTCGCTCCAGGGGACTTCCAAATTCAAGAATTAAGGAAGATTATAAAAGGGCCCGCAGAAAGGGGCTTAACCTCATTGCCTCAGACATTCAAGCCATGCTTGGCAGTGTAAGGGTGGATTTGACTCCATGGATGATGTACACCCCTATGGAGGCATATACCTGTCCGCAGGTGTCCCTGCAGGGATTTAAACATTTTGCTGGCATTTCCCTGGATCCTAAATCAATTCAATTCATCCTGGCTCTCAGTGCATGCTCAGAGCAGGGAGCCTCTCTGGGCTCCTGTTCCTGCTGTAGTCACAAACTTCCCGCAATGAGGCAGCACACTAAAATAAGAGCAGAGAGCCCCAGGCAGGGCAGGCTGTTTGCTTTGGCTGGGAGGGTGCTGGCCTGGCTGCTGTTTGCCTGACAGCCGGCCTGATAAGTGAGCTTCATACACAATACTGTGCAGTGGGCCCTGGCCCATCTGCTGTGTCTGGACAGGTTAAGCCTGCTGGCCTTTGGCTCTGGCCTTGGGGGAAATGGCCCCTGTGTCCCCCTCTCCACGACTTCCCCTGAGTCTGCACGATCACTAAGAATCCAGGTTTTTTCCTTTGGGAATAACAATTAGATTGTGGGACTTGAGTGTGTTTTGATGGATTACTTCCAGGCTTCTGGCTGTTTGGAGAACAACACTCACAGCTGCAGGGCAGAGCAAGGCCAAGAGGCGCAACAGAGAGGGCAGCCCTTGCTGGATGTGGCTTTCAGAACAGTGTGGCTCAGTGGAGAGAGCAGAACATGGGCTTCCTTGGCTTTGCCTATTTATCTGTCTAACCTTGGGCAATGTCTTCGACTATAGCAAGCCTCGGATTCCTCTTTTGTCAGAAAAGGGGACCAGATCTTGCCTCTGTGTGCATTATAGTGTGCCAAGAGCATAAAACACAGTACTATAATTGAAAACCTTCCTCAGTGCTGACTAGCCTGTATGTTCGTGTGTGTTTTGTGTGTGTGTATGTGTGCACGCATGCATGCAAGTGTGAGTTGTGTACCTGTGTGCACATGTGTGTGTGCCTGTGTGCACATGTGTGCATATGGAGACTGGAGTTCAACCTTGGATATTGGATATGGATGCAGATGTATCCATCTATTTTTAGGTTAATTAATGCACTTAGAGTGTGTGCTATGGCTCACATGTAGAGCTCAGAAGACAACTTGTGTGTGTTGACTATCTCTATCCACCATGTGGGTACCTGGGATCAAAGCCACCAGGCTTGGCCATAAGCACCTTTACTTGCTGAGCCACCTCACTGGCCCCACCTTGTCTTTTGAGACAGGGTTTCCCTCTGGGATGGGATACTCATTTAGCTTAGGCTGGCTGGCCAGAGAGCCCAGGGGCCTGACTGTTTCTACTTTTCCAGCACTGGGGTTGTGAGTGTGTGTGCCAATGCCCAGCTGTTTATATTGGTTCTAGAGATGAAACTTGGGTCCTGTGTCTGTGTAGCAAACATTACCTATGGGGCCATCTCCCCAGCCCTGATACATGTCTTAAGTAAAGTGCCCATGCCAGGCAGTGGTGGTGCATGTCTTTAACCCCAACACTAGGGAGGCAGAGGGTAGCAGATCTTTGAGTTCGAGGCCAGTCTGGCCTACAAAGTGAGGTCTAGGACAGCCAGGACTACACAGAGAAATTGTGTCTCGAAAACAAAACAACAAAAGTAAAGTGCCTGGACTTATGGCTCTCTGGACTGTCAGGGACAGTGCCACCAGGAAACACACTCCAACACCAACCTTGGGCTTGCATCTCTTCTACAATGAGAATTGATGACATTTCTCTTATTATGAAGTGGCTACAACCCAACTTAAAAACACTGCAGGGAGGAATGAGGGCTGACTTCTGCAGTTTATTATGGGGAGGGTTGCTAAGGGCCTTTCTTCCCCATCTTCCACTGCACATCATCACCTCTCTCTTCCCCCGGGAGGTCTCTGGTCCTCCTGTGGCAGTTAATTTTGATGGTCAACTTGATTGGATTGAAAACAGTGCCTAAGAAGCCAGTACATCACATTTCTGGGTGTGTGGCCGTTTCCCAGAGGATTAACAAAGAGGGAAGAGCCACCCTGAAGGGAGGTGGCTCTATTCAGTAGATTAGGGGTGCAGACAGGATAAAAGGGATCCTTCTGCCCACTTCCTGGCTCCATTCTGTGAGCCCTTCTCCTCTGTCCCCCCTGCCACAATAGACTGACAGTTCTGACACCATGGGCCCATTGAGAACTCCTATTCCTTAGAGTTGTTTGCTCAGTGTTTTGTCACATCAACAGAAGGGTGACACACACTCCTCTTCCATCACACTGTGTGCTTCTTTCCACAGCAACAGTCCTGTCCACAGACAAGCTCATCTTCAGTCTCCCCTTAGCAACACAGCCTCCCTCTGGCCTCCTGCTTTTCTGCAGCTGTCCCAGCTGCCTCCTTTGCATGGCTGCCCTTGCAGGGAAGCTGCCTGTGTCTGTCTTCCTCCTCCCACACATGCCTGGCCAACATACAATGGCACTTGCCCACCGCTGCTGCATGGTGGGGCCCATCTGCTGCTCCTGGCGCTCACACAGTGGGCATCTAGTGACAGTCTAGTTGTCTGATGTGAGCATGACAGTTTTCCTTCAGCTCCAGGGCTCCATCCACATGCAAACGGATTCCTTCTAAACCACAGATAGGCAGCAGGAAGCTGAGAGAGTGTGGCAACCCTGGGGCAAGGTGTCAGCCATATGATCCGGGACTTTCTCTTTTTATATTGTCTGTGGTTTGAGTTTGTTCACCAGGCTTGGTTCTCCATGTGGTGAAGCTGGGAGGTGGGACCATTAGGAGATGGGGTCACAGCAGAAGCCTGAGATGGCACCCGCCCTTAATCCCAGCACTGGGGAGGCCGAGGCAGGCAGATCTCTCTCTCTCTGAGTTCGAGGCCAGCCTGGTCTCTAGAGCGAGTGCCATGATAGGCTCCAAAGCTACAGAGAAACTCTGTCTCGAAAAACTAAAAACCAAAAACAAAAAATAAAATAAAAGAAAAGAAGCCTGAACTAAATCCGTCCCTGGGTTCCTGTCTCACTGTGTGACCCCTCCCTCTTACCCCATCTGCCATGAGGTTCTGAGCAGAGCAGAACTGCTGCAACTACTGTATTGTTCCTGAACTCCCAGAACTGGGTCAAGTGAACCACTCTTGTTTACTATGTTATCCAGCCTTTGGCATTTCATTACAGCCATGGAAAATGACCAGACGGAAATATTGCCAAGGAGGGCAGCGTTTGACAAGCCAAGACAACGTTAAATCTTTGGAATATAGGAATGAGTCTAAAACTAAATCCAAATGTAGGTAGGGGGTCTGGCCTTGTTCCTGTGAATGTCTTGGAATGGAAAAGGCTTGTCCATATTCAAGATGGTTAGCTGCCAAGAGAGCAGGCCAGTGAGGAAGGCCAGGAAAGGCCTTCTGCTCTCCTGCTGGGGGACAGGTATTTCCTCCACGACTGACACAGTGTCCCCAACCCGGGGCCTTCAAGTGTTGTTTACATCCATAGCTCCTTGGCAAGAACTATGTGCCATGGAGAGTGAAGTTTCCAGCCGGGGTTTCAATGAGTTACCAAACTGCCCTCAGTTCCTTCCTGTTTAGAGAAGGCTGGGCAGGAAGAGAGAGATGTCTTCCGAGGACAGAGAACAAAGTCAATGTCTCAAATGGGGAGAAGGAGGCTGTCCAGATGCAACAGGGGCACCCAGGCCACTCACCCACACACCTGCCCCTGGGACTTGGAGAAGCAGAGCCAGCTCACAGGAGGTGACTGAGGCCACTGCTGTGGCTGCAGGAGCACATGGGATGTCTCTTTCCTTTAAAGCTTCCTGCTTGCTCCAGCCTCCCCCTTCTCCCAAGTGTGGGACACAAGAATAAATAGGGACAGCTGGGCCTTGGAGGTGTTCCAGGGGCTGTGGACTTACATTTCTTCTGCAGAATGCTCTGTCTGGCCTTGATGAATGCCAGGATGTCAGAATCGGTCTGGCTGTCCCCAGTGAGAGGGATAGATGACATCGGCCTTTCAGGGATACTGAAGGTAAACACAAATCACTACTCATTATACCTGGATGTTGCCTCTCCAAAGAGATGTCCAACCTTGCTTAATTTTGTTTTTTAAACATTTAAATATGTGCCTGTCTTTCTCTGTGTATGTCTTTGTCTGTGGTCTCTGTGTGTATGTGTACATGTGTCTCTGTCTCTCCCTCTGTGTGTTTGTGTGTAGTCAGAGGATAACTTGTGGCAGATGGTTCTCTCCTACCATGAATTCTGGGGATCAAACTCAGGCTATCACATATGTGGAGCATGTGCCTTTACCCACTGAGCCTGCTTTTCTGGTTTTGGTCTCTTGGTTTTCATCTGACCTCCTGCTTTCCACTTCCTCATTGTGAAGGCCTCACACTTCTTTCATTGTGCCACAACTCCCCCTTCATATCACTCCTGGAATAGAATTCAAACTCTGCCTCATGGTTTCCTGGGTCCCCAGTGCTCTGGCCCCACCCCATGGCTTCCTGGGTCCCCAGTGCTCTGACTGGTTTCTTCCTGCTACTTCAATAAACTGATTCTTTCCAGTCTTGGGGTTTTTGCTCCAGCTGCTTCCTTTCCCTGCCCTGCCCCTACTCACCTTCCTACAGCCAAACAGCGCTAGACATGAGACTGGCAAAACCAGGGGAGTTCTCTAAGCCAGGGAAGGAAGAGGGGAGGGGCCAGTATCCTTCCCTTTACCAGGAGAATTTCTGGAAATTTCACACAACTCTTCTGCTTACAAATTTCATTGGCCTCGTGGCTGCAAAGGGTGCTGGGAAATGTAGTTTTCTTAATAGTAGCACTTTGGCTAAATATGTTTGTGATCTGGAATAGATAGAATAGTAGTCTCTGTCTTGGGGACAAGTAGCTACACCTTGTCAGCAGTGTGTGTGTCGGGGACCAGGAAAATTCCATTAGGAAATTTCCAGCGGTTCCAGTAACTGGGAGCTCCGGTCTGCATTGAAGGTGACAAGTTACCCTAACCAGGGCCCCAGCCTCCTGGGGAGGCTAGTCAGCTCTCTGGCAGTGGGGCAGAGGGCTCTGGCAGAACTGCCCTAACTGGTGACCAGGTTGGCCTTAAACTCAGAGGTCTACCTGCCTCTGTCCCCCAAATGCTGGGACTAAAGGTGTGTGCCACCATACCTAGTGCACCCTATGTATACACCAGGAGATGGGGGCGCTCAGAGCTTTGGGGAAAATTCCTCCAGTTTTGAGAGTGAGAATGCAAGAGAAGATCTGGGGGACTTCCCAGGCACTGGGGCCCTCAGGTGGTTGGGGACGCAGACTTTAGGGCTCACAGTGTCACAGAACGCTGCCAGATGGCCTGGTTGTCACAGTATTAGGGACTACATACCTGTCTTGAAGCTGGGTCCTGGAGCCACTGGGTCCTTGGCTGTACTGACTGGGGCATGGGGAGGGGATGATTCTTCTGGCATTCCTGTCACTGTAAAACCAAACCAACAGAAGCCAGAAGTCATGGGGAAGTGCACAGGAAAGACTGGGACACTCGTCCTCTTAACGTTTGTAATTCCCAGAGTGATGTTTGGAGGTGGGTCTTGTGGAGGTGACTGGACAGATGAGACCCTTGTGGGTCCAGCCCTCATAATGGGACTAGTGCCCTTGTGAGAGGAAAGCAGACTAGAACACCCTGTCTGGACACCACGGAAAGAAGGGAGCCACCAGCAAGATCTCCATCTCTGTGCTACAGAATCCATAGGGTGAACCCAGCTCCTAAAGTGGTGGAGACAGTGCTTTTGGGCGGTGATGAGGTCATGAGGCAAGATCCTCAAGATAGGGATTAGCAATTGTACAAAAGAAACATGAGTGCTTCCTGACCCCTGCCACTGTGGGAGGGGCAGGGCCCTTACCAGACATCCAGATTGTCAACTACATCTTCAGGTTCCCAGCCTTGATAACTGTGGCAAACAGAAAGACAGAAGAGTGTGGAACGTGTTACAGCAGTTGAAGGCTTACCTGGCATACCCAAGATCCTGGGTATGCTCCAATACCAGAAAAATCAACCACCAACCAACCCAACCAACCAAGGAGCCACTCAGACTCTGGCATTTTGTAACAGCAACCTGAGAAGACTGAACTGACAATCTGTGACCACCCCCAGCCCTCCCCCCCCCCCCTCTGTGATTTTCATTGCTGGAGCAAAGTGTCGCTGGCTGAAAGAAGATGGACGGCACACAATGACTGCAATGATCACAGCTGCTGTTTATGGACAGTGTCTACAACCAGGCCATGTGGCAGCGCTCTGTGACACTGTGCCCCTTTGCCAGCAGTGAAGGGCAAAGACACAGCCCCGTGCTGTCACCCTCAGCAGTCTGCGGCATTAGACCTTCAGGGTCATGGACTCAGAAAAGAATTTCAGGACTAATCAGGCTCTGAGGTGGAGTTAATAGATGTATTAAAGAAAGGCATGCAACTGGAGAGTAAGTGTACACCCAGAAGGTGTGGGCTTCTCCACATGCAGCAATCCACAACTCTCCCCTGGACAGAGGCCCCTGAGTCCAGGCGAAGAGAGGGAGGAGCAAAGGCGTCAAGACCAGGATAGGGAAAAACACAGAAACTAGCTGACCTGAGCTGGTGGGAGCTCACTGACTCTGACTGACAGCTGGGGAACCTGCTTAGGACTGAACTAGACACCCTGAATGTAGGCGACAGTGGGTGGCGTAGGCAGTCTGTGGGGCCACTGGCAGTGGGACCAGGATCTATCCCTAGTGCATGAACTGACTTTTTGGAGCCCATATCTTGTGGACTCAGCCTAGACACGGTCCTGCCTCAATGTGGTGATGGGGCAGACTTGGTTGACTCCCCACGGGAGGCCTTACCCTCTCTGAGGAGCAAAAGGGGGAATGGGAGAGGGGAAGGGAGGAGCAGGAGGAGGGGAGTAAGGGAAACTGGAATTAATATGTTAAAAAAGGGGTGCGGGCTTCTCAAAGTAGAGCCTCAGTGAGTAAGACACATCAAGCGTGGGAGCTGGCTCCGCAGGGGAGAGGCCTGGAGGACGTCTCAGGAGACACCATATATACCTTTTGGTGGCTCTCAAGTTATGTCTCAAGATTGCCTGGAAACAGCTCACACATCCCCTTCCATTCTCTCCTGAGACATGAGATTATAGGGTGGCTCCAGAGAGTCCTTGGGAGAAACGATAACCTGAAAGGTGATACCAGAGCCACGAGGGTACACCCGGGACTTAGGACATGTCCTTTCCCTGTTTCTGGCGGGAGTGCTAGACAGCAGCAGGCTTGCAGCTGGGAGGGGAGAAAGGCCTCAAGCAGCTGGCTGTTAACTGTGCGTCCTCCTCTCTCTGCTGCAAGCCACTTCAAATGCATTCTGCAGTGAGGGTTCCTTTCCGCTGTCATGTCCCTAAATTTTCCATTTTTCCATCTTGTCTCATTGCAGCCCCTGCTGTGATCTGGACAGGAAATGTCCCTCCCAGGGGCACTGGTGTTAATAATAGCCTGGCTGCCAGTTGGGGGAAAGGATGGATCCTGAGGATCCTGCCGGCGCCCGTGGATCAATCCTCTGATAGATTCTCGATTTGATGACATTATTAATACACGGTGGTGCTGGGCTGGAGGAAGTAGGTCACTGGCAGGGGGTTGGGAGAGCGTGGTTTTGGCTTCCAGACCCTTCCTGTCTGTCTGTCTGTTTCCCAATGCTTCCACAAGGTCCACACGTCCTCTCCTCTAGGATCTGCTGCCACACCTCGGTCCAAAGCTACCGACCTAAACCTCTACAAACCTGGGTCAAAATAAACCTTCCTTCCATAGAGTTGCTTTCCTTGGGTATTTTGCCACAGCGTGGAAAATCAAACACAAGCCCTTCAGTGGTCAGAGAAGGGCACCATCACCCCTGTCTTAGAGATGTGAGTAGAGGTGGCGAGGTTAAATAGCAAGCTCACACACCTCCGAGGCTTACTTTCAGCTTCCCTGTGTCAGTACAGCCATCTGTAGTGGCCGGCCCCTGCTGGCATTCCAGGGAGGCACTCGCTATCTTTCCTTGGCCACACTGCTGTCCCTGAGTGGTCTCTGATGACCGCTGCATGCTCACTGAGGGAGGATCCACATCTGGCAGCTCACCAGATGTGTTGGGTCCATTTAGCATTACTGCCTGGTGTGTGCTCTTGCCCAGCAAGAGCCCCACATTCCTCCTGTGAGGGGACAGGAAGACTGCTCTTTATACCTCGTGTCTCTCTAGGCTATACTGCAATACACTCTCCTACATGAACTTCGGAGACTCTTCTGTACTTTGGGACGACCTGTGAAGAGCAGCGTCAGAGGAACTTAAGAGGTCATGTAGTCAGAACCTTCATTTTACAGCTGGAGACACTCAGGCTGGGAGGCAAGCCAGGGTGACAGACAGGTGAGCTCTTGCTTAGCCCCACATATGAGTTTGGCTGGCTGCCTAGAGCCAACCTTTTGCTGTTCTACTTCAGACATGATGGCAGGACAGACCCCTTCCCATGAGGCGTCTCCACAGGCTCCCGGCCATGAGTCAAATAAACAAGAAGGGACGTCAGAGATTATGTTCCCAAACCCTACTCACACCTCCCATGCTCATTTCCTAGCTGTGTAAAGTTTCTCTGAGCAACCCTCTGTGCTGGGTCTTACTTGAGGTGCTGCAGGACCAGAGACAGCCACAAGGTGGCAGACTGCACATTCTTCTTGGGAGAAAGGCTGAGCTTCAAGGGTGGTTGGAGCCAGTCCTAGGAAGGGAAGGAGGGGTTTCCTCCTGCAGGTGCCACCCTCAGAGCAGGCCAAGGACGGTTTGGAAACAATAGTGAATCTGAGGGAATAAGCCATTGGCTCTCAAACGACCCTTTCCCAATTTATCTTCCTCCAGAGGCCAGGACAAGTTCACAGACGCCAGGCTGCTGAGGGCCAGGACTGAGCAGCAGAGTGGACCAGACAGACAAGGGAGCAGGGCGGAGGGACGTGACCACACCAGGCAGACAGAGGCAGACAGATGCTCCTGTAGAGGCCAGCTGCCTGGTCTGTTCCCTCATGCAACCCAGGCAGGAGGAGGGCACTGGGCGAAGCTGGGGGGAAAGGACTCCCTAGTACCTAAGTGGTTCCCTGGCTCTGGGGTGCCACCATTCAAATCTTCCTGCCTCTCAGTCCAGCCCTACTAATTAATTAATATAGGAAAGGCCTCACTATGGAGCTCCCATGTTTATTGTTTTGTTTTCTAAAGCTGCTTGGGCCATCCATTTTTTATCATTGCACATAAAATGTCCTGCATATATTTTAGTATATGCAAGTCTTTTATGCAATGTGTGCTTTGCAAACATCATCTGGTTTGTGCACATTTTATTGTTTATTTATCGTGGGTGTGTATGCACCTGTACATTCAGGAATGCCTGTGGAAGTCAGCAGATGGCACTGGATCCCTTGGAACTGGGGTTACAGGAGTTTGTGAACAACCCAAAGTGGCGGCAAGCAGGGAGCGCTTTTAACCACACAGCCACCTCTCTAGTCCAATAGTACCCTTAAACATTTTAATAAAGTTCAATTCATTGTTTTTTCTTTCACGAATTTACTGATTTTTTAAAACCTTCAGGCATGCAAACAAAACACCCCTGTGTTGAGTGGTGGGCACTGTTTCCTGAAGCTCTGGCACTCAGGCCAGGCATGTGTCTGGGAGGCCTGGTGGAATGTCAACCAGAAGTGGGTCTAATGTGTGGGCTTTTTTGTTTCCTAGGTAAGATCTTCTAAGTTAAAATGTTTATTTTTAATTATGTGTGTGTGTGTGTGTGTGTGTCTGTGTATGTGCCCACAGAAGCCAGGGTGTGCATTCCCCCGGAGCTGGAGTCACACATGGGGCTGTGAAAGGCCTGGGGAGAGCACGAGGACGGAAGTCCATGGCCTCTTCGAGAGCAGCAAGTGCTCTTAATGGCTGAGCTGAGCCCCAAGAGTCTGGAGTTTTAGATACTGCCACAAGTCTTGCAAAGACAATGCGGACAGTCCCCCAGACCCTTTCCACAGCAGCTGGTACAGTCCTGCCCTTTCCTAGCTGAATCCACCCTGACTCGAGTGCGCACCCTCCATGTCTTTTTGCCTCCATGCCTCTTTCAGCTGAGCACTGTGTCACCTGGGTCTGCATTGTCTCTCCTAGGCTTCAAGACTTGAAGAGTCTGTTTTTTTTTTTTTTTTTTTTTTTTTTTTTTTTTTTTTTTTTTTTTTTTTTTTTTTTTTTATGACCTTGTTACTTTGGAGCTGCACTGGCCAGGTATTTTGTAGAATGTCCCTTGGCTGGGATTTGTGTGACATTTCCCTCACGTTTCTCCTGGCACTGTCTGACATCTTTAAAAATGTGTGTGTGTGTGTGTGTGTGTGTGTGTGTGTGTGTGTGTGCACCATAGCATGCATGTATGTGAAGGGCAGAGAACAATTTGCAGGAGGTGATCCTCTCCTTCCACTGTGTGGATCCTTAGCATCAAAATCAGGGGTCAGAAATTTCTGTGGCAGAGCCTTTACCCACTGAACGATACTGCCTGCCTGTGACATCTTACTTTTACTTATTAATTTTAGATATATTTATTTGTTTTCATTTTTATATGGGTGTTTTGCCTGAATGTATCAAAGTTCATTGCATGAATGTGTTTTGCCCTTGGAGATCAAAAGAAGGCACTAGATGCCCTTGACTAGAGTTCCAGGTAGTTGTGAGCCACCATGTGGGTGCTGGGAACCACACCTGGGTCCTCTATAAGAGCAGCCAGTGCTCTTAACCTCTGAGACATCTCTCCTGCTTCCTGGTATCTTTTTAAAAAGCTTCATTTCAGACTTCTGACACGGAATCTTTGGTGTCCTTTAACCTAAAGGTTTGATAGCCCCTGGATGGCAGAGATGCTGTCCCCTCCTCTGGCCTGGCAGGGGTGGGTGGCAGGAGGTGCTGATCAGAGACTGGTACCGTGTTTGATGACTAGTGAGAGACCGGGGCACTGTGTGCGGAGACATGCAGTCACCATTGGATTTCTCCACCAGAGAGAATGAACTAGAGGACAAGAGATCTGTTGGAGCTGGTGTTGTAGGCATTTGCAACTCATGCAGCCATGTGGGAGGCTGTCCACATCTTGCCCATGTATCCACTGAATCTTCTCTAGGACAAGGGATGTTAATACTCTCATCACAACTCCCTGGGTCCTGGTAGATTGACTGCTAGCTACCCCTCCTCAAGAACCCCTCCCAAACCATGCCCTTCCTGCTCACACCAACCCTTTCTTCCTCCTCAGCTGGCAGGACCAGGGCTCACGAGATTGGACCAATTTTCTTCCGTTACATGGTGGTGGGTGCACTGACTTGGCTTTCAGAGAGAGGGTCTGGAGGGGTGCACACTCAAGGGAACTTAAAGCCACAAGCCTGGGGGACTCCAACTAATTAAACAGCAAAGGCAGTCTATTCTACCAGACCCTGGGAGCCTTTCCTGGAGCCCCAGACTCAGCTCCTGGTTCTGTACTGACCTTTTCTTGGAGACAAGCTGTGGTTGGTCCTGCTGGGGAAGTGGCTTCAGGTGCTCCTGGGGATTCGTGGTTGGGGAGTTTGCCTGTTGGCCCAAGAAGGCATTTTGTAAGTTAAGATAAATCCATGGTATAATGTTCTTGATGTAACTCCTGTCCTCTGTTCCCCAGCCTTGGGTCAGGAACTTGGGGCCTCAGGTTGGCTAGGCAAGTGCTCTACCACTGAGCTGCACCTGAAACCCTTGATGTAGTTTTTTTTTTTTTTAAAAAAAACCCTTTCTTTTCTTTTTCAAAACCTTTATTTATATGGAATGTGAACTTGGGGACCAGAAGAGGATGTCAGGTCCCCAGGAACTGGAATTAAAGGCAGGTGTGAGTCACCAAGTCTGGGTGCTGGAAACCTAACTCTGATCCTTTGGAAAAGCAGGAAGTGCTCTTAACCACTAAGCCATTTCTCCAAACTGTTGATGTCATTTTCAAGTGGGGAAAGCCTATTGTAGAAGTCAGTATGAATGATGGACATGACAAAAATAAATCTAGACATAGCTATGATCAATTTTGTTCACTGAAGTACTGTCTTTGATGCAGACATTATTAGTGAGGTCTGGCTTATTTTCTGTGTCCCCAGGTCCTCAAATGGAGCATATATTAATTTTTTCAGGTAGAAAGAGGAAAGTATGATGTCATTCAGCAATTCTCAGGAAATCCTTCCTAGGCGTGCTTCTCCTTGTCCCTAAGACCCTCTTATGGAGTCAAGGAACACTTCTGGAGCACTCACCTCTGCTTGTCTCCATGACCCCAGAGAGCAAGGCTGGGGTAGCAGTGACTCTGAGTCTCCCACAACACCCCATGACCCTCCCACAACACCTTGAGCCTCTCTGGACCTATGGGCATAGTGAGTCTGCAAGGAGCTGCTTCCAGGCTGTTCCCATTGGCTTCCTGTCACTCTGGAAAGGCATCACAGAACACTCATCACTTCCCTTGTTCTGCCTCAGTCCACCTAAGAGACTTTTATAGGGTGGGCTATGAAACTACCCACAATTGAGGGGCACTAGCTTCCCTGTGGCAAGGTGTCTATCATCTCTGTTGTCCACCATCTGGCCTCTTTTGTTTCAGCGACAACACCCTGGGTGGCAGGAGGCACATGGATCCAAGCACCTTGGCTGTTTTGGCTTTCACGGTCCATATAACTAACGAGCAACGGGAATCTGCCAGCCTTGTCCAAACACTTCTCCAGGTTGTATTTTGTGACCCTTGGCTACTGTCCAGTGCTGAACTCCCTTGGGCTGAAAGCCTCACTCCCAGATAAACTCCAGGAATAGTTTTGGACTCAGAGTGCCAACAGAGGCCAGGGTCATTGTGGACATACATGGGAATCAATTACATCTTCATCTACCCTATCTTCTACTTGACATTAATAAATGGCAGCAATGGTTGCTGTGACTTCGCTACCAACCCAAACCACATACATTGTCTCCTGGAGGCCACAGTCTTGCACGTGACAGCTCCCACCTGAATGTCCTGATGTCTCCACAGCGTACCTGCAGGTTGTTGGCCTCCTCAGTCCACCAGACCTGGAACTCCTTCTGCAGCTTCACCTTGGCTTTGTCCATGAGCAGCTGCAGGTGTTCAATCTCTACCTTCAGGGCTTTCAGGCGCATGAACGTCATTTTGTACCTACAGTGGGACCAGAGAAGCTGACACCCTGAAGTCACCAGCACAGGAGGATGCTGTAAATGAAGAAGGTCACAGAAGCCTGGCAGAGCTGCCCTGATGCTCGGAAGGGGGCCAAGGAGGGTCTGCCAAGGCTAGAACATGGCATCAGGTGCTGAGTCCATCAGAGAGATCAAAGTGGGTCATTTTTTTGGTCAGTAAGCCCTTGGGGATCTTCTGCAAGAATGAGAACTCCCTTTCATTGGGCAGGTACTCAGGATAAGTGTGACAGTTGATCCTCATTGTCAGCTTAGCTGGATTCTGAGTCACCCAGGAGACACACCTCTATGTCGGTACCTATGAGGGTGCTTCCAGAGAGCTTTCACTGCAGGGCTGATGTACCCTGAACATGGGTGGCACCAGCACATGGACTTGAAGTCTGGATGGAATGAAAAGCTGAGCACGAGCCTCCATCTCTGTGTCATCAGCAGCCTGTGTTCCTGCCTGTGCCTTCCTTGCCGTGATGGACAGTACCCTTAGACCAGGAGCAGAAATGAGCTCCTCCTTCCGTGAGCTGTGTTTGCAATTGCTTGTCATGGCAACGAGAGAAGCACTAATACATCGAGGGGCAGATAGACAACTGAGGGAAATGCCAGTGTGGATGGCAGCACACAGGTGTGGGCAACACTTGAGCCTTTGCTGGGAAGCTGTGAGGGAGTGCAGTGCTAGGTGCTAGCATTGCTCAGGTGAGTGTGTGCGTGCATGTGTGCGTGTGTGCGTGCGTGCGTGCGTGCGTGCGTGCATGCGTGCGTGCGTGCGTGCGTGCGTGTGTGTGTGTGTGTGTGTGTGTGTACATGTGTGCCTGCATGTGCATGAATTCATGTGTGCATGTGTGTACATGCATGTGTGTGTACATGTATGCCTCTGTGTGTTGACGTGCGTGCCTGTGCATGTGCTGGGGGACTGTTGCAGTGATGACATCAGTAGCTTGAGGCAGGAAGGTGACTTGTTCTGAACCACCAGTTCCCAGCCATGGCATGGAGGATACAGGAAGGAATGCACCCGATCAGGGAAATCTACATCTCGTCACGCTGTAAGCAAAGTCACTTTGGGCCCCCAGGGAAGCTTTGGTGAAGCTGTGGAGTGAAGCACACCATGGTTCTTTCAGAGCAGTGCTTCTCAACCTTCCTAAGGCTGTAACCCTGTAACACAGTTCCTCATGCTGTGGTGACTCCAACCATAAAATTATTTTGTTGCTATGTCAGAACTGTAATTTTGCTACTGTTATGAATCATAAAGTAAATGTCTGATATGTGTCACCATCCACAGGATGACAGTCACCGCTCTAAAGAGCCGTGGCCATTTGGACAGGGTGCTTCCCTACTCAGCGCCCCCACCCTTCCCAGGCCTAGACCTCCTGACGTTTGAGGTTCCAGGCTGGACACATTTCCCAAGGGGAAGATGGAGGCTTTGGGAGGCTCCAGGTAGTCCTGGCTGGCCCCAGGGGTTGGGGTCAGAATGTGTGTGACAACAACCGACAGCTCACCTAGTCTTTTCTTCCTCCAGCTGTGCTCGAAGTTTCTCTTCCTGGAGGTCAGGCATGGAGGGTGTGACCGAGTTCTCTGAGATTCCTGGAGGATGAAGATGCCAGTGGGTTATAGCAGCAAAGAAGGCAGAAGGAAAAATGTGATGGGGCCAGTAACAGAGTTCAAGGGCATCCAAAGACGAAGGGGTCCTGGGAGTTCCTTCAGGAGCCTCTGGGTGGCAGCCTGAGCTTGGCTTCAAACCACCCTCCTCTGTGTTCAGTCACTGGAGGGGATTGCTCCTCCTCTCCTATTCTCCCCTGCACTCATGTCCTCTGGGGTCCACAGGGAAGAGGCAACCTGCATTTCCATACTGCGGAAAGAGCCCTTTCTAGGCCAAGAAGAGGGCGTGGCTCTGACTGCCTACTGTGCCTGCACGGGCGGGCCAGCGGAATCAGAACCTCAGTTCTTGTTCTTTACCTCTATAAAAGACTGTGACTTTCAGGCTGACATGGAGGTGACATGAATCCGCATCCTCTGTGACCAGAGACAGAACCAGTGGCAAGGTCTGGGGGAGGCCTGAGCCCTCAGTGGGACTGGCTGGTAGCTGTGACCTGACTCGATGCTGACTCCTTTGTGTGGTGACCTGGCTGTAGCTGGGGAGCCCCAGGTACCCTCCTAGCTCATCTGCTAAACTTCTGGGTGGCGTCTGCCATTGGGCAGTGCTTCTTAGTCAACACAGAGGTACCACAAAGCCAGCAGAGTGAAGGCCTCACTACCTCCCCCTCCCTGGCTCCACCCCTGCCCTCCAGTCCATGACCCTCCTGCTATCCCCCCAAGAGTGAAGGTGCCAAACCTCCCCCCAAGAGTGAATACCACAGAATGAAGGCCTCCCCATCCCCCACTCCTGCTCTCCCAACTCAACCCCCAACCCCTGTCCCCCAGTCCATATCTTCCTGAACAAGATCAGACTTAATCCCAATGGCAATAACTTAAGGAAGCATCAAGCCAAGCCTACATTACTGATGAAACTTAAGGAGACTAATCTGCCAAATCCTGGAGCTAACTTCCAGATCCTGGGGCAGATCCCCATCTGTGTGGATGCCAGGGTCCTATATTCAAATATCCTTCTGGAACATTTTATTCCATTTTATTATTATTATTATTATTATTATTATTATTATTATTATTATTATTATTATTATTATTATTATTATTATTATTATTATTATGTAACTTTATGGAGCTGACTCTTTGCTTCCACTTTCAACCATGTTCCAGGGATTGAACTGAGGCCTGTGTGCCTCACCCACTGGGCCATTTCTCCAATCATTTGCTTTCTGTTCACAGGCATGCAGTGGCTGGCAGCTCAATGCTGTTTACGAGAACATGTTTCATGGGTCACAGCTATTCCCGCTGATTCTGAACAGAGACTGTCCCCATTAATGTCCCCTTCATCTCCACACAGGCTTTATGGAGCAGCACAGAATGTCTTTTCTATTCGGAGGGCCCTTTAAATATTAAACACCACACAACATGAGTCTGAAGTCTCACTGGCAGGCCCACTTACCCCTTTCCTTGTGTGGAGGTCCAGGAACCTTGATACTGCCTAATTACCTCGTTTCAAAACCAGAGACCCAGTGTAACAGCCCATCCAGGGTGGGAGGTGCAGGGTGGAGAGGAGCTCCTGCTCCTTCCAACTTTTAAATATACAATTTCAGGCCAGGGGGATGGCTCAGTGTGTAAAACACTTGCCACGAAAGCAAGAGGACATGAGTTTGAATACCCAGAGGCACCGGAAGCTGGTGCAGTGGTGCACATCCCGGGGTAGGATGGAAGCTGAAGGTGGGAGAGTCGCCTGAGGCTCACTCTCCAGATAGCCTGCCATCCACAGCAGCAAACGACAAGACAGACCCTGTCTCAAAGAAGGTAGAAGGCAAGTTTGACTCCAACTTCCACTCCATGTGTGTGCCCTGGCATCATGCACCTGCCTACATTCATACCCACACAAATAACTCTCTCTCTCTCTCTCTCTCTCTCTCTCTCCCTCTCTCCCTCTCTCTCTCTCTCTCTCTCTCTCTCTCTCTCTCTCTCTCTCTCTCTCTCTCACACACACACACACACACATCATTTGGAGGCTGAGGCAGAAGCATTAAAACATTAAAAGCTTGAGGCCATCCTAGGCTGCATATTGAGATTCAAGCCAGCTGGGGCTATAGGAGACAAAACCACCCTCCAGAAACCCCAAGTAATCCAGTCTGCAGCAGGTCAGTTACTAATGCAGGCCATTTATTGAATGCCCTCTCTCTGAAATGTCCTGCCAAGGCGACTAGGCCCACGGTCCCCCCCTGCACCACTAAGTCCTTAGCATGACCATGCATGGCAGGCACTGGTGACTCCCCTCAGTTAGACTTCGTGTCTGGGGTCCATGAACAACACAGATGAGAACAGCAGCTAGGGAGGGGCAAAGCTGAGGTGTGAATGGAGGCACACGTCTACGCCAGCTCTCTCCATCATGGCCCGTGTGGCCCTCTGGTAAGCCTGTGGCTAGTCAAAGGTCTCTAGTGCTTTTCATAAGTGGTTCCAATGTACCTGGTCCCAATGGGCGGACACTTTGATCCCAACTGCACAATTCCCCTGCAGAGAGGCCTCTATCTGCCAAGGTCTACACTCTTCTTCCCCCCTCCCTGCTTCACTGATATATATGATTATATATGCTAAATGGTTACTACTCTGGCTTTTATCCTTGTGGAACCAATTACCCTTCCTTCCTTGTGCTAGGTGAGCAGGCATCTTCTGTCATCCCACCTGAAGATGACACTGTCATCCTGTGGGAACATTTTATCAGCCTTATGAGGCTGAATGCTGGTCTTTATTATCCATGATCCTCCCTGACCTCCAAGTCACAGGCACAGGGCACTTTAGAGATGGGACCTTCCTGTTTCCTGAGCCTTGTTTAGAGGCTGTGTACAATACACACTGGATTCCCCCATTTATTTGACTGCCCTGTCTTTGAAAAATGGCAGATGTGAAACACGGAAGGTGGTGTATTAACACCAAGTGACAGCGAGCCTTTAAATGGTCAGGATACTTCCTTCCCTAGGAGTTCGGGGCCCATCTGTCATGTGGCCTGCTGACACAGAACTTGGCCTCATCTTCATCTTTTTACACCTTTGACCAAGGGCAAACCAAGGGCACACGAGGGATTCAGAGACAGCTTGTTCTAGAGTGATGGTTGGGGTCCAGGAACCAGCAGAGAGGAGGAGGATGAAAGAAGGGCTCTGGCTTTGTATGGGAGGCAGCACCAAGGGCTGTGAGGGTGAAGAAGCGAGGTGAAGGGTGCTCAGTCCCACCATGCATTCAGGCCCTTCTGCAGGAGGTAGGTTCCTGCCTCACTCCACGATGTGTGGTGGTTTCTGTGGGTACACTGCAGGTGTGTGTGCTGTCCAGGAGCCACAGGTCCAGGGGTCATTCTGAGTGTGTCTGACACAAGAATAGAAGGCTAATGTCAGCTATTGCTGGTTCAGTCCTTGAGTCCAGGTCAGTGTGTGCCACCCCCTTCATCATCACCGCCACAGCGGGTTCTGCTGTTCTACTGAGTGGACCAAGGATCAGCATGACTAGGGGAAGTGGGCAATGCCACAGGACTACCTGGGTGCTTGGTCCCTCCTTCACTTCCTTAACAAGGTGTGTGTGTGTGTGTGTGTGTGTGTGTGTGTGCATGCACACGCACCTACCATGGTGTGCATGTGAAGGTCAGAGGACAACTTTGTAGAGTCGGTTGGTTCTCTCAGCTGTCAGACTTGCAAAGCAAGTGCCATTACCTACTGAGTCCTCTCACTAGCCCTTAGGAAATGTTTCTTTAGTGTTGACTATGGCCCGTCCTATTCCAGAAGGGTTAGTTCTAGGGATGAAGATGAACCTCAATAAACAGCAACAAAAGTAGGTCTTCAGCATAATACGGTAGGCTGGAAGACAATGCTGGACAAAAATACAAAGTGTGTGGCGTGATGTGGTGGGTGACCTCTTGGAGGAGGGGGCAATAGGGCAGAGACCTGAATAAATTAGGGGACTGGGAAGCGCGTGAAAGACTCAAGGCACAGCCTGCTTGGTGCCTATGAGGAGCAACGAGCAGGCCTGTGTGCCTAGAGGAGCGGATAGGACAAAGAACAATCGGAAACTGCAGCAGAGTGTGGTTGGCCCCATAGGCCATGGCAAGGACACTGGCATTGAGACACAAGGGAGCTGAGGGCTTAACAGTGGGAGAGTGGCTTGATTTTGTCCTTCACAGATGATCTGAGACAGTTATTCTGCAGTGAAGAGCTGCTAATGGCGATGGTGCCAGGATCCCCCAAGCTTGTTGACAAAGTCTGGGAAAGAGGGCTGGGACGAGGGACCTCGGGCAGCTGGGATGAAGGCACAGCATCCCTGACACACAAGCTACCCGCATTGTCCCAGATGGGCTTGAGGCCAAAGGTGATGCTTGTTTTGTAGACTGCATTGTGACACACCAGGAGACAGGAGCCAGCCCCCGTGAAGAGAAGCCTGGGCTGAGGAGTCAGGTGGAGGCAAATGAAAACATGAGCGAGGAGAGAGGGGGAAGACAAAGGGCTCTTGGGCTTGTAGGTCTTTGTTCCCACTGGGACCCTGGCCATGGACAGAACCCCCAATCACCTGACAGGGGGCACAGGGGGAGCCTTTCTTTCAAAGATAGGATTCTGGCTGGGATAGCCAGCCCCACAGGAGGGGTCAGCCCCAAGTGACCTGTGAGGTCACCATGATGAGCAGAAGGCTCCAAAGCAATGCAAAACAAGCAAGAAGAAAGGGTTCAGCTTCACCCCGGTGGCTGTCCATCTGGATGTCACACAAGGAGGAAGCCCTAAGCAGCTGAGTAGCAAACCAGGAAGCCAGAGGGCAGGGGAACTCAATTCCTCCATTGCCGGGATGCCAGCCAAGACGTGGGCCCTTCTGATTGAGCTGGTTCTGCTGGGGAGGTCTCCACCCCCCCTCACCACTTCTCCACGACCCCCCACACTCTACACAGTTATCTGATGCCTGGACTGTACACAATCTCATTTCTCTGCTTCGGTGGCTCTCGACTGGGGTAC